TGTTTCTTTTTTTTTCAAGAAAGTCGTAATTATGTAACAGTATCAAAAAATACTAAAAAAAACTTCCGCTCTGAGACATCTGTGGACAAATCAATAGGCCCAATGGTGGTTTCCTAGGTAGTAAAAGTAATGGAGTCGTTTGTAACTTTAGTCAAATATTCTTACAAGGTAACTGCCCGAAACTAATAGGTTTTGACTTTGATTATGATTTACCATCGAATTTTGGTAAATCTGTTGAAAAAAAAACCGAACAACAATCATTTTACTTAAAAACTGATGGTCTTTGAATAAATTTTGTACATATACGAAGAATTATTTTTTTCCTCAAATCAAAATTCATTAAATGGCTAGCATACTTTGAATTGTATAATATTTTAACATTGATTAAAATTTGTGCAGTATTTTAAAAAGCAAGGCGCGAAAGGTACACCCATTAAAATTATCTTTTCTTCTGTCGCGCTGATGGCAATTATAATATTCAGTTGACGTTAACTCTCTTTGACTCGCTGGTGGCTGAGACTTTTCCATTATCTCTTGATATGTCAAATTAGATTCTACCAAATCATAATTACGACTTTCTTGAAAAAAAAAAAAATTTTAACCGCAATATTCTAAAAAAACAAAGTTCGGTCGCGAGGGTAGGGTCGTGAAGACACAACCTCAGTCTGGGCTCTTAGAGCTCATTTTAGAAAAACTAATTCAATTTTTTGTTTTTTTTAGATTCATTGCTTCTCTTCCTGCGCAGCGATGTTTTTATTGCTTCTGCTCAATTTTTTTAAAATATGATCAGCAGCTTGCCAAAACTCACTATGTTGCTATTCAGTATTGTTTCGATGCACTCAAGTTCAATTAGTTTAAAATATTAAAACAATTGCTCAGCCTTTGCTTCCTTATAAGAAAACACATTAATTTTTTTTTAAATCAACTACAAGCAGAACCATTTTGAAACAGAATGGTTAATTTTATCAAGATTGGAAAACCCGCAAAATTATCCAGTGATGTTTTTATTTGAAAACCAAACTGCAAACTGAAAGAAGGTATGACAGGTAGATCTCGAAGCTATTTTTTGGACAAAATGAATGATGAAAACTTTTGCTTGTCGATTGAAAACAATTCACTTAATGAAATATCGATTTTTACGATAAAATCAGAATATTTTTTTAATTCAAATTATCGAGTTGACTAGATCTAGTAATTTGATTTTTCTTCTCCAGGTATCTTCCCCAGGTATGTAGAGGTTATCTTTCGTTCTTTCGCGCTGTTGGCAATAATAAAATTTGGTTGCGAGGGTGAAATAACTAAGACACAATTCAGTCGGGGCTCATAGAGCACAGTTTCCAAAAATTATTTCTGAAATATTTTGTATTTTTTGATATTTAATTAATCTTTCTATGTAACAGTATCTTTTTTGCCTTAGGTCGTTTTGTTTAAATATAATCAACAGATTGCGAAAATTTACTGTGTTGCTATTCAGTATTAGTTTCTAGCTGTTAGTAGTATTCGCTTAAATACAAAAGAACTGCTCAACCTTTGAAAACAAATAAGGAAACAAGCTAATTGAATTTATCAACAAACTACTAGCAGAACCTTTCTGAAACGATTGTTTCGTTTAAAAACAGTTGGAAAATCACAAAATTGTAACGTGACAGTTTAACCTCAATGACAGCAAACTGCCCGGGTTGACCTCCTTACACCGAAAATGCTTATCATACAATTCCATACATCAAGTGTGTGGGAAAATGCTTGTCATACAATTTTCATACAATTTCTAAAAATGGTTGAAAACTGGTATTAACTCATTTCTGTGGCTGTTTGATTCTAATAAAACAATCTGGTGATAAAAACTGAGGTTTTTGTTTTTTGAAAAAAATGCTTATCATACAATTCCCATATATGGAAATTGTATGACTGGCATTTTTTTGGTGGCGACACAAAAAATTTTTCAAGTAGTTTTGAAAATTTAGCCCAAAATTTTTTTTGTTTTTTTTTCAACCGCAAATCGATTTTACTACGCAAACAAACATTTTTCGAAAAAAAAAATTTTGCATGCAAAATTTAATATTTTGTGTGCATAACGTAGTCCTGGATACGATAAAAATGGCTTAATTTTTTCTTTTCACTTAATTTTTTTTTCAAAAACGCTGAAAATTCCTCTTTCTTTTGTATGGGGTGTTAATGTAAGCCTCAATCAATGTCTGATAATTTGAAAATTCAAAAACTTAATATAATCATCATTAAAGAATTTTGCCAAAAAATAAAAGTTTGTTACTTTTGTTATATCAATTGTGAAAGACAGCAAAATTCAGGTCGTTTTCTATGCATTTTAAATGCAAGACCGTCCAACCTTTGGTGTCTTGAGTAACCAAGGTCTTTGTCACTTGTGTTCGGTTGCATCTACAACCGAAAATTTAGAAAGAAAAATTCAAAATTTTTTGTTTATGGGAAAACATCTATCATACAATTTTCATATATGGAAAAATGCTTATCATAGAGTTTTCATACAATTTTCTGTACGTATGGAATTGTATGAAATTGTACGACAAGAAGTTTCTCATATATGGAAATTGTATGATAAGAAGTTTTGGTCAACCCGGGTGAAAGTTGAAGAACAGTCTGACGTTTTTATCTTGAATAATTCTTTTGACAAAATCAATGTTAAAATTATAGCCTGTCGATATAGAAAAAAATCATGAAATAGTAGTTTTCACGAATAATTCAGACTAACTTTTTGTATTCAAACTATTGAGTTCAATGAAAATTTTAATGATTTTTAATATAAGTTTGCTTCCCCAATTGTTTACTGTTGATTGATGTCTTTTTTTTCTACAAAAAATAAAACTCTCCTGGTCTTAAAAAATTTCGGTTAAGTTTTTTTTCTTTCTCACACGAGTTCTGACGGGAAAAAATGAAACAATATAATGCAGACGGTTAAATTTTATGCTAAAGACTTGGTGTAGAATTGCTGTCAAAAATTCATATACCGTTTTTCCATTTTCAGTTTACCTCAATTTTTGACCTCATAGGTATTTCTTCTTCTTAGGGCTTATTCTGAATTTGGACAATTTTAGGATCTTGTTTGCGGAAAAAAATAAACAAATTAACTTACAGGATGCTGAGCGTTGCAATTTTTGCAATGCAACGAAGCGTAGCATTGTGAGCTAGTGAGATGAAAATGAGACGGAGACAACTAACGAAAAAAAATGACAAAAATGAACTTACTTTTTGGAATAAATGAAAACTTCAATTTCAATTAACTGTCGAAAATAAGAAAAGAATCAGCATTCAATAAACTTTTTCTAGCGAGAGGCGAAAACGCAGACAATACATGGGTTGGCCATTGAGATGAAATTAATCAAATGCTAGAGAAGTTGGCATATAAAATTTTTGACCAGCTGTCTTGAAATTTTAAATTTTTACACCACAATCAACCTGAATTGTTTAAAATTAAAACAATATTACTGCTCCGAACGGCCCAAAATAAGTTAACTATGCCAATAAAACATAAGCCAAAACATTGTGGGTCAAATAAAATTTTGAAGCGAAAGAAAAAACAAAATGAAAATATGCTAAGTCATAGTAAAAAAACTTCCAGGGCTAAACTAATATTTGTAAAACACAAAACACTGCTGGCATCACAAGAAAAATCTGTGAAATGGCAAATGGGTCCACAAAACTAAGCCGCGACTAATTTGAGGCTCACTCAGCAACTTTTCGCGAAAAATATTCTCTTGTCAATCATACTGAAAAATTAAGGTCCAGCCGGGGTTCCAAATTCAAACCATAAAAAACAAGGCAACCGATTTACCTCAAAACCAAATGTGAAAATGACTGGGGTTAGTTAGGGTTCAATAAAGATGCAAGTTTATTAAGAAGAAAGATTACTAAGAAGTTTTTTTACGGAAAAATTCTATTTTCCGATTACAAGACCAACTGTTATTACTATTCATTGATAGGGATGGAAAGTCAGTAGATCAGAATACTCTACTCTCTGTGTTCTACAAGTATCGGAAATGGGTTATATTTTTTATTTTCAGTATGACAAATAGAGCATGGAGAATTATGTTTGTTTTCCAGAGGAAGTCTGCTCTTCTTAAAAAAAATCCTGGAGGCGATGCTGCAGCTTTGCAAACACGAACGAGAACGCAGCAAACAGTTAGGAGCTTTGAAGTCCTTAAACATATTCGCAAATGTAATCAACTTAAGGCAACCACACTAACTTTGCATGTAATAAATTAGAGTTTTAAATCAAATTGCAATAAATTATGTATTTCAAAAATCTCGTCAATTTTATCAGGTTGGAGATTGTATGAAAGAGGCTTTCAATTATTAAACTGTTGTATGAAAGAAATAGCTTTTTTCAGTTCAAATGATGAATTAACAAAGCATTTACTGTGTTAGTCTTTTATTAATCAGATGTCTAAGCACTTGGCTAAAACAACCTACAGATTCAAAAACTCCACCAAAAGTACTATTTGCGACTTGGGTTGAAAAAAAAGTTGCATCCTACTATCACACAACGCTACCGCTCGTGTACACAAGTTTCGTAAACTCAAACCTAACTTTCTGATTGTTTAAAATACCTTTTTGGATAAAACAGCCACGCATTTTGTCGCTTATCCCAAAAGCACTTATTTTTTACCTGTTATTTTGAATGCCTCCTCATAACGTATGGATAAAGTACCAAACTTTATTTTTTAATAATTAAACCTCTATCAGCGAGGAAAACACAAGTTTCAATTGGCTGATTTTTACAAAAACAACTAATTTAAAGTTCCTCCAAGAAGACTATTGGGAGCATAAGTTCAATTTCAAGCCCCAAAAAACAGCGCTAATGACCCTTAAGCTATAGGGTAATTAGCGCTGACTGAGATGATTTGCTTTTACGTCACTTTTAGGCTGGAAAAGTAAAAGCGCAGCGCTGTTTGGTCAGAGTTGAAATGTCGAGGAGTCTGATTTTGAACTGCAAACACACCCCGCTCCAAAATTCACATTCCAAAAAAAAATCGCACTCAATTTAATTCAAAATACATTAAGCAGTAACTTCAATTTCAGTTTCAACTTCATCAATTTCTAAGCTCAGTTCAGATTCACATTCATCTTCAGTAAGTTTTTGAGTATTGTCTTTTTGAGAGAGAACTTTTGCTAATTCTCTCAGCTCGGCTTGACTGACTTGGTCTGTGGCGTCGTCGTAGATGTCTTTCGAGTGGTCGTACTCGTAGTAAACATGTCTGCGCGCTCTTTCACGGTCAAGAGGGGTTAAGTAGCTGAAACAAATAGAAGTTACGATTTAGGATGTTGAGCAAGTAAGAATCGAGAATTATTTCGATAGGGGTTAGATTTTCAAACAAAATGTCGACTTTTTTTGATGCACAGAATCGATTTTCGAGCTCTCCAAAAACAGTCAAAACCCTATTTTTCAAAACAAAATTCCGGCGCAAGTTCTATAAAAAAAAATGGCCAACAGACAGTTTAAAAAGAGCCAACTGACTTGTTTTTTCGAAAAACTTTTGAATTTGGCCTTTGGCTGAAAAATGTGTGGCCTTTGGCTGCTGATGGAGTCCAATTCATTAGGGGGGGGGGGGGGGGTTGGGGTGATGTTGTCTGCTTTCCCCTACACTGAGTCCAATCCTGATTGATCAAAGCAAACTTGTGGCGACAGTCAATTGCATAATGCATACTCTTTTTGTAGAAAATTGAATACTTTCAAAGAGGATAGTTTTTCTCAGTTTAAGGTAATGCATTATTGGTTCAATAATTAATTTCTTTATTGAGCTGGGAAATTAAAATCCACTTCCGAAACTAAAACGAATAAACGTTTTTTTGGCGCTATATGCACTTAGAATTTTGGAAAGCGTACTTGGAATAAAAATCACAAGTCAAGCCCCAAAGAAACAAAGTAACTTCCAGACTTTATCTGAAAAAAAAAGATCTAATTCAGGGTCTTGACTTTGCTAATCGACACTTAGAAACACCGCAAAATTGCCCGCGCCATTGTTTCTAAATAAGATAACGAAGTCTACAAGGGAAGAAACTACTCACGAAGTGTCCATGTTTTTGAGGTTGAATCTCTCCCATCTGTAGGACCATGGCTTCGGCTGCATCTTCACTTTACCAGTGAACACTGGCACCTTATCTGGAATAGGTTCCGGCTGAAATCAAAACAAAACTTTTGAAACTCACAAAACACCCGGGATACTATAGTGAATCGTGGGGCGATAATTGGTAACATTTCAAAAAGCGCCAACACGCTGCGCAGCAATTAAGCATAAAAAATACATATTATTTGAAATAAGTTGATTTAGCAATGCACAGCAACCAAACAGCCATGCCTTAGTTGGTGTGGGATTTGATATGGAATGTTTTGCAAGACTTTCAAGCGATAAATCCTGATTAAAAAGCTTTGCAATGAATTCTCGCTATTTATATTTGATACGAGTTATCACTTGCGAATAAGTGTCGCCATGCCAAAGTGAACACCTTTAAACTAGAATACCTTCAATAACTTAATTCCAAATTTTTGCAAAACCAAACAGTCTAAATCAGTATTTAAATGCAGCAACGTGCATGCAGCAATAATTTCAACCTGCATATTGAGTGGAATAGTGCACATCCTGGGGTCTGCATTCCTGAGGAAGAGCAAATCTTGATCCAGCCACCTCTCCAACCTCAACACAGTGACTTTATGCACACGTGGACTATACAGTTCAATCTCCATCTCTACACCCTCTCCTGCGGTAGTTGACGGGGAACCAGAAGAGCCTGCAGTTTCTAGAACATTCCTGAGGAAAACAGAGTGTCGTATTCCGGATAGCTGGCTGCGGTAGAGTACACGACCCACGAAAAAGTTCATTCCTAAACAAAAATTAACATCACAAAAAATCAAACATAACCAGCTGGCAGGTGGAAAATAGCAAGGAACGCAAGGAAACCGAAAAACTGACTTTGTTGAAAAAAAATCTCAACTTTCCAATTTCAAAGAAAACAATAGATGCCCTTTGAGCTCTTTGAATTTCTCGAATCTATTTCTTATTTGTATTTTCTCAAGGGGGACTCCTTGCTAGGTATAAAATCTTTTCTTTTAGGTTTTTTTTTATAAAGGTGGGTGTAATTTCTATCGAACAGCACTATTGTAAAGGTTTAGAAAAACGTGCTCCACTTCTAGTTTTTCGGGATCATTACCATAAGGCTGTTCGATAGTGGAGTTTGCCTTCCTTTCAACAATGGAAATAAACTGAACATGAAAAGGAATCAAACGTCAAACCGTGAAAAATCAAAATTGCGCGTGAACAAACTTTAAGACTTTTTCCTTAAAAACACAAAAAAACCTATATAGTAGTACCCACTACGTTCATTAATCTTAATAATAAATACGCAAAAACAGATAGGCATATAAAAACAGTTCGGCGTATAATTTAGCTTAATAAATAGACAAAATGCAAATTTTACGAAAACTGATCGAAAGTTAACTGTTTTCTTTTAAAGCTCGAGGCTCCTAAATTGCCTTTTCCTAGAAACGTTTATTTTGTGAAAACATGTGCTCTTTTTTGCTTTGATCAAATTCAGATAAAACAAGCAACATCAAAACTAAAACAAAAAATTTTCCAGGGAACGCCAAAGAATCTAAATCGAACGCCACAAAAATCGAAACCCAACAAAAATCAGGCAACGAATATTTTACCGTAGCTACAAGAGCAATGGGTATGATATATATCAAAGGCTTAAGGGTTTTTCATAAAGGTGGATATTTTAAACTGGGTACCATAGAGGGGGAGGGTTGATAAAAGTAAAAGCATAGCCAACTAACGGTTGGACAAAGGGTAATGAACGCAAGGAAACCGAAAAAAAAACCCTCACTTGTGGTTTGAAAAAACTTCAGGTTTCGAATTTTAAAGAAATATATGCCTCGAATCTATTTCTTATTTGTATTTTCTCAAGGGGGACTCCTTGCTAGGTATAAAATCTTTTCTTTTAGGTTTTTTTTATAAAGGTGGGTGTAATTTCTATCGAACAGCACTATTGTAAAGGTTTAGAAAAACGTGCTCCACTTCTAGTTTTTCGGGATCATTACCATAAGGCTGTTCGATAGTGGAGTTTGCCTTCCTTTCAACAATGGAAATAAACTGAACATGAAAAGGAATCAAACGTCAAACCGTGAAAAATCAAAATTGAGCGTGAACAAACTTTAAGATTTTTTCCTTAAAAACACAAAAAAAACCTATATAGTAGTACCCACTAAGTTCATTAATCTTAATAATAAATACGCAAAAACAGATAGGCATATAAAAACAGTTCGGCGTATAATTTAGCTTAATAAATAGACAAAAACAATGGAAATAAACTGAACATGAAAAGGAATCAAACGTCAAACCGTGAAAAATCAAAATTGAGCGTGAACAAACTTTAAGATTTTTTCCTTAAAAACACAAAAAAAACCTATATAGTAGTACCCACTAAGTTCATTAATCTTAATAATAAATACGCAAAAACAGATAGGCATATAAAAACAGTTCGGCGTATAATTTAGCTTAATAAATAGACAAAATGCAAATTTTACGAAAACTGATCGAATCGAAAGTTAACTGTTTTCTTTTAAAGCTCGAGGCTCCTAAATTGCCTTTTCCTAGAAACGTTTATTTTGTGAAAACATGTGCTCTTTTTTGCTTTGATCAAATTCAGATAAAACAAGCAACATCAAAACTAAAACAAAAAATTTTCCAGGGAACGCCAAAGAATCTAAATCGAACGCCACAAAAATCGAAACCCAACAAAAATCAGGCAACGAATATTTTACCGTAGCTACAAGAGCAATGGGTATGATATATATCAAAGGCTTAAGGATTTTTCATAAAGGTGGATATTTTAAACTGGGTACCATAGAGGGGGAGGGTTGATAAAAGTAAAAGCATAGCCAACTAACGGTTGGACAAAGGGTAATGAACGCAAGGAAACCGAAAAAAAACCCTCACTTGTGGTTTGAAAAAACTTCAGGTTTCGAATTTTAAAGAAATATATGCCCTCAAAGCTCTTTGAGTTTCGAGAACAATTCATGATTGGTGCTTTGATTAACACTAACCCAATTTGAGAGAACTGGAAAATCTAAAAATTAAATTCTACTTTCGAAACTTAAATCGTTTTCGCGCCACTTCCACGTTCGCATTTGGATATTACTAATTACTTATTTCTCATCAGATGAATTTCAACTAAACTCGAATTATGCATCTACTCCTAAGTGCATTCATAAATGTATGAATGCACATCTGTAGTTATCAACAACGTTCAAAAGTCTAAAAACCAATACAGCTTCTGAGATGAGCTTTAGGCTGCCAGGGCCTTCTATATCATAAAGAACACCGTATAGCTGGTATTCAAAAATAAACCACGTGACCGCTACCTTACAGCACCAGACACTGAATAAAAATACATCTACAGGGTCCGTTCACCTAAGTTGAATATCGAAATCAAAAGAAGTAAAACAAAGGGTACCGCAGCGAGAAGTAATATTATCAATGCTATTTAAAATTTGTATGGAAAAGCTTTCTTCGTCACTAGATAGGGTTTCAACAGTTACATACGCAGACGATATAATTTTGATGACTTCAAAACCACAGGCAAGAAAACTTAGTCAAACTAGGCCATACCTAGGAGAGCTGCACAATTGGCTCGACAATAGAAATTTGAAACTTTGTGGCAAGTCATCATCAACCATTTTATAACTTGGACAAAGGAACTGTTCCTTGCTCCCCAGCTCGAATTTAAGAAAAATCCTGCTCCACTTGAACCGAAATTCGAATTAATGGACGCGAATTCTGATGGTTTACTCGAAACAAAAAACGCCAAAACCAGCAGTGGGCAGATGCAAAAACGAAACTATACTTAGAAAATTTGTCAGGAAAATGCAGGGTTTGTTCGAAGGAAATAAAGACAGTAATATATGACGGCATCGGGCTCAGTGAGCTGAACTATGGAGCACACATCTGATCTCTATCAGTCAACAAACAAACTAGAACAACTCCAAATTCAGCTAAAATTGCCCTCAAGAGAATCACTAATAGCGTAATGACGTCAAATATTGACGACTTTCACGATGCAACTAAAACTTCCCGTGGCGATTCGTCAGGAAAGCTTTCAGGACATCAGGAAAGCTTTCAGGAAATCACCACAATGAGGTTAACAACAAATTCAACCCTTCCAAGCTTCTAGGACTTGCGCCACCTCAAATGTCTGACAGCGGATATGAAGTACCTAGGATAGCGCACATATGACTAGCTCAACTAACAGCTATTTAAGTGATAATTGTGATGAAGGAGATTCCTGCTCAGACTAATATGAGTCGCAACACAACGCTCATCGTATTTTTAACTTTGTCAAAACCCGACAGTCCTTAAAACGTATGAACTGTGGCTTCAATCGTTTGAAATCTGAGTTCCTCAGATTTCATATCATGATGGAGCGGGAGCTCTGAACTCCCTTCAATCTCAGCATGAGGCGACGAAGATGCTGACTTCTAAATAGCACTAAAATTAAACGACAAAGAGCTGACTTCGAAATTGGGGACAGCAATTCAAGGCAATTCTTGTTTAGAACAATCAATTATGCTGGGATACAACAGCAGGGAAGAGAAGCACCTATACTCCCGCCGGTTCCTGAATTGCATTCACCAATAATTCGGCGATTTCCAGCAATAACTTCCGAAGAAATTCGACTTAAAACTTAAGAGTAATTAAGACAGTAAATTAGAAACCAGGATAACATCAACTGTTGGCAGTCAAGTTTTTGCGTGATATTTGGTACCCACAGACATGCCGAATAGCCAGTATTGTAGACTTGAAGAAAAGTTTTATCCAAAAAAGAATCCACTTATACTGTCGTAACCTGAATTGATGTCACCAACAGTTATGCGATATTCAGCCATCCCACTGAAACACCGGCAACTTCGACCCAACTCCCCTTCGCCGAGGATGGGCCCAGCCGGATTCGAACATCAAGCCTTTGCCATCTTAAGTTGTTGTTTTTACCTCAATGATTTTTGTCGTCGGGCTTTGTCGTCTCAAGCATGGGGATACAGCAACTTGGAAGAAAGCTAAGCGATCGAGCTACGGGAACCAAGCCGTCAAAAATAAACAGACTGACAATAGTCCGAAAAAGCACAAAACTCTAGTTTACAAAAAGGGCCCGGCCAGATTCGAGCAGCCATCCTTTGCCATCTAAAGTTGTTGTTTTATCTCTACGCCAGATGCGCAGGATGGTTGAATGGATTTGAATTTATAATTACTTAAGTTATTATAATTGCAGGTACTTCTTAAGCAGGCACAAGAAAGCCGAAAATACTTGAGCAGAAACCCTTCATGCCAAAAAAATACAAAAAATTCTTAACTTATAAAAATGTCAAGTCCCTTTCCCCTCAGAGCACACACACTCTCGCACAAAAAACACAAACTGTTTTTGGTCATAACGACACAATAAGAAGCTACTCAGTCGATATTAATTAAGCCGAAAGATATTAAGCAATAAAAACAAAATGAAAAAATCGAGCTGGTAAAATTACTACCAATGTGAAAAGCAAACTTCGATTCGGTCTGATTTTTAAAATGCTAAAATCAACTGCAAAGAGAATTGTTTACAGCTAAAAATAAACGATTCTTAGATATGGCAACTAAGCCGACAAAACATAAGCAGACAAATAACAGGTCAAAATTTTTTTGATCCGGAATATTTACCGTTTGAAAAACAACTGGCCCTGGTCAGATTCGAACAGAAAACCTTTGCCGTTCCACGAGCATTCGTTACCACCAAGTGGAGTGTGCAACAGACACTACAAAATTTGAATTCAATATGAAGCAAGGTACACCAGGAGTCCAATGAGTCCTGAAAAAAGCCTAGTACGCGATTGCAATACCCTTGCTTATCGCAAGGGTAATAACCATACTTCGCCCTGTAAAAAAACCCACTATACCATAAAGAAAATGCTCATATGAGGTTGAGAGCCCAAAAGGTCGGATTTCCGAGGCCCACAATGATCCGTGCTCGTTGATTGGGGGTGAGGCATCACTACACAACACAGCCCAGAAAAACAGCCAAAAAAATTGCAGGTACTTCTTAAGCAGACAACAACGGTTCTTCACGAAGGGCAGAATTACTCGTATGCTGGGCCTTTGACTCGTAGCTTAAATTACTAAGCACAGTGAAGAAAAAGATTCGCTGTTACTTTTCGTGTAACTTAGCTATGCAACTAATTTACTATTTTGAAAACATTTGATCTTCATGCTTTATCTCAAAAAAATCACGCATAACGCCATATAAGCATGCAAAATAATCATAAAAACAGACAACTCGTTGAGCGGAGAGGGTTGCATTGACTTGCCGTTTGTGGCGTGTGGGTCTGCGTAGTCCACTCTGAGAATCGATCCGGGGTAGAATTCTGGGATGTCTAGCCTCTTCCTTCTCTTCATCATGTCACTCCATTCCAGCCACTTCAACACTCTACTCTGCAACAAGTTAACAAACATCATAGCCAACAAACAGCAATTTGAAAGCATAATTCAGCACATTAATTTGAAGTTAAAAACATATCAAAAGTCGACATTCAAAAAAACAGCCCATCATTCAATAACACTTATAACTGGAGTGTTAGCAGAGATAATTTTCAATTATGTTGTAGTAGTAGTAGTAGTAGTAGTAGTAGTAGTAGTAGTAGTAGTAGTAGTAGTAGAACAGGATTTAGGGTTGTTATCCCATGGTTTTGTACCCAAAATGTAGTTTTAGTGTTAATGAGTTCTGAGTTTTCCATTTGGGTTACAGTTTCCACATGGACACATTATTCGCCATGTGCAGCTGTCCATTTCTGAGTATCCTTCGAAGAATTTCCAATAAGTTTCCGCTATGTCAGATTTCTGTATGTCAGTTAACTAGTTTGAGGTATGTCGAATTATGACATTGAAAAGTGCTGGGCATCTAATGAAGAAGTCTGAGTTGGTTTTCTTTAGGCGAGTTTTCGGTATTTGATATTCGTTTCTTTCATTTTGTCTCGTTGAGCTTTTGGTGTTTTTGGCATATTGGTTAATGTCAATTTCGTAGTTATTGCGAACTATAGAAATGAACAGAAGGAGGTCGTGCATTTCAATGTACAGAGACAGCGGTAGCATTCTTAATTTTTGTAGTCTACACTTATATGGGATATGTGAGTTAAGCATCCATTTGGTCGCCTTTCGCTGATCCTTTTCAATTGCTCGGAGGTTTGATTTCGAGTAGTGCATTTAGCTTAGAAGTTTTAGGACAGTTTTTAGAGAGGTTACGCTTTAGTGAGTAAAAAGCCGATAGCGACTTCTGACAACGCTTAGACGCATTTACATTCCATGAGAGAGTGGGTGTTACTAAAATTCCTAGATCCTTTTGTTCAGTTTCGATTTAGAATATTTCCATAAATTTGACCTTCCAGCTAGTTTTTGAAATTAACGAGAGTACATTTTCCGGTATTTAGACGCATTTGGTTTTTACTACACCAATTTTCAATTGACGTAGTGGCATAGTTCATTTCTGTTTGAGTTGTTGCTATAACCTTAAAGTCATCGGCATATCCAAAAGAGTCAACTAGATTCAAGTTATCTGGTAAGTTGTTTATATATAGTATGAAAAGTAATGGTCCCAATAGAGAACCTTGAGGGACACCACCTGTTGCGTAACATATCTTAGACTTTGCTTTGTTTATTCGCACATACTGTTTTCGAAGAAATAAATAAGAGGCTATTAGTGCTTTTCCTCCAAAACCATAACACTTCAATTTATGCATTAAAAGTTGATGCGGAACGCAGTCAAAAGCTTTTTCAAAATCTAGATAGAGCTCTGTTATATTTTTGGTCGTTTGGTCATCATAATTTAGGTATACTTGATGTAAGCAAGCAAGGAATTGGGTAATTGCTGAAAGTTTTTTACGAAAACCATATTGAGAGTTATGAAGTTGATGTCGCACTCTTTCATAAATGTAGTCAAATAAAACCATTTCGAAAATTTTTGAGATGCAGCAAACTTATCGGTCTGTATCTTATCAGTAAACTTATCGGTCTGTATCTTTTAATATCGCATTTGTTCCCATCTTTGAAGATTGGGACAACTTCACTTAACTTCCATGTTTCTGAGAATATACATTTATTCAAAAAAGTTTGAAAAATTAGGAGGACTGATTTTGATACTGTTTTCGCTAAGTTTGTGTAGACAAGATTTCCCAAATTATCTGGACCTGTTGCTTTATTGATGTCTAGTTCGAGCATTATTTTCTCAATGCAGTCTTTATTCATCTCGATGTGGTTGTATTTTGCTTTTTCAAAGATACTTAATTCGGTTATTTGTTCCGCTTTCGTAAATACACTACAGAAGAATTAATTAAACGCATCGCATTTTTGTCTGTCTGTCTCAAGTTCTTTGCCGTCAAGTTTCATTATCGAAGGTAGTCTAGGTGCTCTTCTTATGCTTCGCAAACACTTCTGAATTGTACTAAACTTTCTTGGTGCAAAAATCTCTAATTCGTAGTTTTTCAGATCTTTATCAGCAGAAATTTTTATTTTTTTCTTCTAAGTTTGTAGTTTTAGATAGAATTTCTGGATTCGGACAGGATTGCTGTTTCCGAAGTAAAGTTTCTTTGCGCTTAATAAGGTGGGAGGTTGGGGGTGTGATCCAAGGGGGGAGTGTGGCTCTATGTTCTGTTACTCTAGGTATATTTTCTTTCAGAATTCTCCAAAGCCAGGTGTACCATTGATCAAGTAAAAAATCGCAGCTACTAAAGCAAAACGGTGTGAAGGGATTATTGATTATTGTAGTGTTGATTTCACTCCAATCTGCTCTTTTGAATGACTATTATACTTTGTCATCACTTCTTGTTTCAATATGCCTTTGTTTCAGATCGATTTCTGTTAAAAGGCATTGTGATCACTGAGGTTTTTATTTTCTATTGAATACATTTTATTAACATTTTCATCAATGAATGAATTAATTATACGGGAGGGGTTGTTGACTAGGAAAACATCTAAGCTTTTTGCTTTTTCAGGCGCCAATTTTTGTTCAAAATTGTAATCAATTAAGGTTTCAAGGATTAGATCTTCCTCGGGATCATCTGATGCCATTGCTTTCCAGTCAGTTTTCGAAAAATTTATATCTCCAGTTATCATTGTTTGTTCACAATTCAAGTCTTTTGCAGTTGAGCTAATTTTGGTTAAGAAATCAACAATAGAAAAGGCTGTTGGTCTATGTGGGCTATCTTTTGGTGGGCAATAAACACAGCAAATGAGAGAGGATATATTTTCGAAATCAACTAGTCTCAATGTAACTTGTTCAATATTTGAGTTTATTGGTACATGTTGATGTTTAGAGTTGTTTCTGATGGCAATTAAGACACCGCCATGTTTCGTCTGGTAATTTTTTGATGGTCAATCACATCTGTAGATTTCGAGAGGGGTATGAAAAGAGTTTCGGATCTTACTTCAACAGTCAGCCATGTTTCAGTTAGACATAAAATATCATGTTTATTTGAAAGACAGATTGCATTTACTAAACAAGTTCGCCGTGATATTTCTATCAAACTTCTTACATTAAAGGTGAGTATTGTTGATACCAGTTTTTGTTTTTGGGTTAATCAGGCTGAATCGTCATCGGGTTTTACTTCTACCCAGCCGTTTTCAGTTTTTCTAATTAATTTTAGATTTCTTAGTCGCAGTTGTGTGCTCTCGAATTTTCCGGATTTAATGATATCACGTCTTGTTTTAAGCATGTTGTTTTCGATTTCCTGTTTATCAGGTGTTAGCTCTTTGCTTATGAATACTTTGTGTTCGTAGCCTTTGAGCTTGTGTAGAGAAAGAAGGATTCTTCGTTTCTCCCATGGCGCAGAGACTCTTAGAACTAACGGACGATTTTTATTTTCCGCGTATTTTCCGAGTCTTCTGAGATCACTTATTGGGCACTTGACGTCCATCACATCAAGAAGATGAATCACTTTTTGCATATCTTCGTCCGCTCTTGACCTGGCGTCTGTTGCCTCTGACTCGGTTATGCCTCTTATGCGTATGCCATCGTATTCTTTTTGGGATGCTTTCCCGTTTTTGGGTGTGGGTTTTTTCGCTTCTGGCGCAACTTGTTTTTGTTGCATTTCTGATTTGATTTCAATCATCGCTTCCTTGAGTTCTTTGATGCCTTCTTCGATTGTTTGTATTTTTTGAGTGCTTTCATTCGCATGTTTAGTATTAATAATTGCATCCTTCTGGTTATTTCCCACACATCTGTTACATAACAGAAGAACATTATTGTTCAGTTATTTCAATACGTTTATGGCATTTTCTTCCAAGTCTGTACAGTTTGTAGTCATGTGCATACTTTCGCCACATGACCCACAGTTATATACTGCGTCTCTTTTGTTTATGGGTTTTGAGAACTCATTTATTTGGGGCTGTTTGAATGGGTTTTTTTGGGGATATGTTTTGTTGTGATTTACTATCGGGCTACTAGCTGGTAGATGTATTTAGATGAGAAATCACCTCTCGTCGTGGAACCCGTTAGGAGTTCCGAGAGCTTGAGATGACTTAAAGATAGAAAAATAAGCAAGTCTATAACAGTGGAACCCGTATTGGGGTTCCGAGAGCTATAAACTCACTTAGAGAGGCTTGTAGGTTCCGCAATTGCACCACTGACAGCAGTGAAATACTTCTGTGTGCTTGTCTTGGGATGTTTCCAAAGACCACTTTGATCGCAGAACGTTGTTTTGCAGGATTGTTCGAAGACCTCTCAGGGATTCTTGGGTTATGTGAACGTCGTCGTTTGCGATATCGGCTTCACAGTATATTTTCCGTTTAATACTTCTATAGACCCAAGTATCTCCTATGGCCTCGCGTTGAATAACTTTGTCTACCTCGAGATGGCGATCTGTTATGTCGTTGGTCAATTTATCAACTCCTGGGGGGATGCCTAACACGTATACCCTTTCGCACAGATGGGATTTCCAATGTCTTCGGGATCGCGTGGGGAGGGTTGGGTACCGTTGAAAGTGTCGTTTCCGCCAATAAATAAACAGATTATTTCGTACTGACCTTTCGTTGGTAAATGATTCTGTACGTGAAAGATCCTACCACCAGGAATTGACAGAATGTTGAAGTTCGGGATGAATGTATGCCTTTTTTACCATGGGCTTTATGATGGTTGTTTTACCCACCCATCCCCCTCCATAATTGAATTTCTGCTTAGGAAACTATATCAGCATCGTGATAATGTAATGAATATTTGGATGGTAACTAATTAATGTGAAAAGAAAAGTTACTCATACCTTACATAAATCACACATTCAGCCATAATAAACCGAGAATTAACTATGAAAAAAAAATTGAAACGATTGTATGAGGATCCTGAAAAGTAGGCTTCTTTTTCCTTAAACATCCACCGCTTTTGCGGCTATTATTTTTCCTATTATAGCTGTCTCATACCCCCCCCCCCTAAATACAGCCCCATAATAGAAAAACCCTATTTTGGTGGGGCTTTGATGCTACATTGGGGTGGCTACAAAAGGAAAATAACCCACTTCCTTTCTGACACTTTAAAATTAGGTTCCGGCAAATTTAAATGGTAGCTGCTACTGTGGTTACTTGCCTGGGCAAATGGGTAGTTGGACACGAACTCAGGGGGCAGGTCTCTAGGGTGGGTCTCTCTCTCATTATACAGCACTCGAGGCAACTCAGAAGATAGATCATTCAAGTGAGTGGATGACTCGTGTGAGTCCACTGAAGCACTAGTGGGATCAAATGAGGTCACCTGCGTTCGAATAAAGAACATAGCTAACAGATGACTGGAAAAAGGTGTAAAAGAACAAGGAAACAAAAAATATTCGAAAAAAAATGAAGTTAAAGCTCTAAATTTCAAGACTTTCATTCCGCTGAGAAATCTGACAAATTAAATCCACGTTCGAAATTAGAATTTGATTACGTTTTTCGTGACCTTTGCAATTTCGCTGTTCGATAGTGGAGTTTGCCTTCTTTTTAACAAAGAAAATGAAAAGATTTTAAAGAATTCAATGAACGCAAGTAAAGAGAAAAACCGGGCTTGTTGAAAAAAAAACCGACTAAACGCAAGTAAAGAACTCAAGAACAATTTATGATTGACAGTTTTCATAAAGATGAATCAATTTGAGAAGACTGGATCAATAAGTACAGTTTTTATTCCGCTGGAAAATCTTAAAATTAAAAACCACTTTCTAACTAAATTCGATCACATTTTTCGTGACTTTTACAATTTTGTTGTTGATAGTGGAATTTGCTTTTCTTTTAGCTAAGGAAGCAAACTGAACTTGAAAAAAATCAAGTCGAACCGCGAAAAATCAATATTGAGAGTTAAACAATTACAACGACTGCTTAAATCTCAAAAAACTCCCCAATGAAACTTTTGAAGGCCGTAGAACGTGGGGTACAGAAAAAAGAGATGAGCGGAATATGCAAGCACGTAGAAGAACAACCAGTCTTTCCTTTGGTACCTTTTTTTGAAAATCGGCCCAGCACTTTTGAGAAAAACCAGATGTTTTGCGGAAAGTGAAAAATAATAAAAGCGTCCCAAAAAAAAATAAATTGAATTAAAACCACAAATTCCATCCATTCAATGAACAATCGAAGCAGCTTCATGCTGAAAAATAATTCAGTTCCACCTACTTGTGACGTGTGTGGTGTAGCTGCAGCATCCAAATACTCAACAGTTCCAGTTTTAATCAATACTTTCTTGCTGTCGTGAGCACAAAACCGACAAAACGCAAAGCCGACATGTCTTATTTTGAACATAACTCAAACCTGAAGATGAAACAATAGATTAAACATCACCAACAAAAAGTTTACTATCAACGCTACGAATGCATAATGCTCTTTGAGGTACCCAATTTTGCGTGGCCAGTAAAACCAAGCTAGGTCAAATCTTTCACATTTGAACAACCTAGGGAAATCATAGCTGTGAACACTTCATCAAAACTAAGCAAATTTGATTAATTAGGATAAAAATTAAGATCCACTTCAGCAAAGCAACTTCGGTCATGGTCTTCGCGCCATTTTTGTATTTGTCATTGGAGAGCGTAATTTGCGTCTATATAGAAGATCAAGAAAAAATACAGAAAAAAGTTAGGTCGACTTGGTCCCAGCACTCTCGAGTTCGTCAATGACTTAGGTAAACATATATTTCTTGCCACTGCAGAGAAGAGAGCAACCGAGTATCTTAGACAACATTTGGATTGGGAGTAGCTGTGCAGATGGGAAATGCAGCTGCTATCATCGAGACGTTCAAGATCGATCCGGGCCCACTAGTCGTCAACGAACTGATTCGCTGATCCACAACATGAACTGTTGACTGTTATTTCTATTTCCTTTGTTGAATTAAACTTTCGCTTCTTGAAGAAAAAGAGACTTAACTCAATTGGTGGAAGCATTAAAACGGTCCGTGCACAGGTTGCATAGAGCCATACCAACGCTATGCAAATACATCAGAAAATTTTTATAAATCAAGTCAATTTTAACGCATCCAGAGAATTGTCAATTAAAATCTACCCACCTCGATTATAGAACAGATAGAATTGTTTATGTTGGATGTTTTTTAAAGTCTTTGTACCCTTTAAGGCAGAGGATTACACTCCTCAGAAATGCAAAACATATTTAGTTCTTATGAAATTTAATGTGTCCAAGTGTGATTCGTTCCGTTTTTCGCTTAGCTTCCCTGCTAGTTCCTGGACAGTTTTTGTAGAGCTTGGTGCAGCTCCTTCGGTACACGCAAAATTAAATGGAACAAAGCTGCTTTGTTCCACATCAAGAATTATTTGTTGGTATTTAAATGTTTCGACACTTTCATGATAGTTTTAGGCGTCAGATATAACTTAAGGGCAGGATTTAACATGGTGGTTAAAAGTTTTTACATCAAAAAAAATCGGCTGAATTGGCATACCCAGAGTCCACTTGCCTTGATGTGTAACATTTGCCCAGAAATACATATCGACGGAAAATAAAGCAAGGTTATGAAACATTTGTCTAGCGTCTAAACACAGCTTCATATGCTTTTAACCGTCTCTACCAAAGCCAGTTCTATGTGTGGTCCTTTAAAGTTGGGCCGACAAAATCAATACTGTTTTGGGCTATCGGCCAGAACGCGCAGATTAACTTAATTTCATGTAAAATAGTGAGCTCCTGGCTGGATCACAGTATCCTCAGACCACGAGGTCACTCCTAAAGACAGGGCTACTACTTATTTATTAAACTATTATTGTTTTTCTTCAGACGATAAAAAGCATCATATCGATCGGAGATGGATCAGTCCTTTCCCTCAACTCCTAGCTTCTCATTATCTGAAAACGAACTTTGACAGTAGTTTCGGTTTTCTTCCCGAGACCTTTCCGGATTCTGGAATCCAGACAAAGAGTGGTCTTGTCGTCCTTCTGGAAGTGTGGTGAAATCCTCCCGATACCCCTCCGCATTCTCGACAATTGCTCGGTAACGATTGTACAGCTACAATCATTACAATCCGGACAGCCTCGATTGCAACTTCAATACAGTCTTCACGTCTTTCTTCTCTGTCGAGAGTCTATGTTGCTGTTTTCTAGCAAAAATCGGTCTCTTCTGATTTTCTCCGTTTTCATTGTTGATGAAATTTCAAGGTCGTGAAGTGTCTTTATTTTCAAACGAATTTAAAAAAAAAACTTCGTCACTTCAAAATAATCTCTCCCAGTTGGTCAAGCTGCACAATAAAAACTGTTAATCCGTCGAAATTGTCAAATTTCCCACTCGGATGCCTTTAAAAAGTTTCGATATTGCCATGCATTTTGGCGCCCTTCTGGTCGAATGTCACTTTGTAAAGTCGAGGGTCATCGCCTTCCAACGAGTAAAGTGTTGGCTCTATTTCAAAATCATGGCATTCTTCGTCCAGGAGTGTCGCAAAGGTATCACGAATTGTAACAGTCGCTTACTTATGTCACATATCGAGTTAAGAAAAATAGGCCCTATAACCACTGGCTCAAGGGTCAGTGACACTATCTCTTGTGCTTTTAAACCTCATTCAGTCGGAGTCAATTTGGTTCGTGTAAGGCATGAGACTATAAATCGTGTTACCGCTTAAAAGCCACTACCAAATTACCCCCCTCTCTAGAAATAAGAACGTCCCCATGGCAAGGTCTCTAAATACCTAAAACACGCGAATGTGAACGGTATTAAAAACAGGGTCGGAAGCTTTAGTATATCTTTAATTTTATTAGACAATGAACCTTTGATCCATTTCAGAGGGATCAACCTAAAACTCGCCTCATCTCAACATAATCACATTAAATGCACTCGAGAAAATTATATTAGGTACTCACATAGTGGCGCGACTCTATAATCAAGTAAATGGTAATAGTAAAGCAACTCTAGAAGTTTTCTGCAATGAGTAGTTTTAAACAAACAAGTTTAATCTTCTGAACCATTGGGCAGCTGCAGCTGTCCACCTTTTCAGTCAAGGTTCCCCTTCTCGCAACGACGATACTCTCGCAAGATTTCACGTTTCTCTCTATCAGAAACAAGACAGCTCTATTCAAGTTAATGATTGCAGTTTTACTTTTGACTATTTCTTATCGATTTTCTTGCAAATTGATATTTTTTTTCTGATCAAATTAACTTCTGATTTTCAGTTGTCGCGAGAAACTTGACCATGACATGATCGATTCGATTTTTTGAAAAAAAAATTGTCCCCAAAATCAAGGTTAAACTTCCAAATCAAAGTCAAGCTTCCAAATATGACCGACTGGCATAAATTCCATATGCCTTAGGTGAGTGTATCCACCTTTGGGACCGTGTAGAGAGTAGGTCAGTGTGAATGGTTATCCACATGGTCATGTATGTTGAGTTTTTGGTGGTTCCCATCCATATCTCAGATGTAAACCATCTTTAAATTCTGATTTGTTGATGGAAAATTGTTTTTAAGGGTGTCACACTTAACCAGTTTGATGCTCCTTTCTGTGATGCTACAATTTTATCAGCTTTTCAGCTTTTTTTCAATAGAAATTTTCCATAATTTTAGCCTTTCCTGAGAGTGTGATATTCTGTCTCTCAGCTTTGATATTTCAATTTATCAGAGTTTGTTCCGATTCTGCTATTTCTAGATCACTGTTTTCTATGGATCACAAATGGCTTGTGACCATTCATAAAGTCTGGAAAAGAATGTGTTATTGAGAAAGTCTAATCCTCCCATTCTTAGTGGTAGTGCAAAAGGGCTGCGATCTTCATCGGTTATATGGTTTTTACCAGTAATAGTAGGAAGTAACTGCTGTCTTATGTTTTTCTCAATTTTGAGTTGTTCTGGTTAGAAAGCCTAACTTATTTTGAACTCCTTTTGTGTAGCAGGAGTACGCAGTTTGTGGCGATGTTTTTAGCTACTTTCGAAAGCTTTTTTTTAGAGTAGTTTTCTTTTCAGTTTCGCGTACCATGTTTTAATTGCATGCTGATGGTGTTCCTATAACCGAACCAAGGACTCTTAAATTGTCTCCCATTATAAAATTTGTGCCTTCGAATACCTCTATGGTGCTTTCCCGGCTGATTTTCTTGCTATGAGTTGACACTTGGAAGGCTTCACATTGTAGACGAAAGCCTTTCTGTGCACATCCAGGTTGTTCAGTATTGCACGGAGACTCATAAGATCACCTGCAGCGCTTCCGTCAGCTGCGTACCACTTTTGGGTGACATTAGGTTTTGCAGGAGCTTGACCAGTGGGATTATTCCAGTTCCTTACAAAGCCCTTGCGAGGGGATCACCTTGCGCCGTGCCTTCGGTAGATGTCAAAACTTTGTTAGATGTGTTTATGACAAATAATTTTGAGGAATGTTTATATGAGTCGGCCACCGAATGTTGTTGTGCCGGACAAAGAATTTCTACAAATTTTTTGAGCAATTTCTCTATTGAGCGAGTTGAAGGCATTATCTGCGTCAATAATTAGTATGGCGTCCGTTTCCGTTTTCTCAAATTTGTTGCTGAAGTTTTTTTCTGATAATTTTCTTACACAAATCAAATATAAGTTCTTATTTTTCGCAGGTCAATTTTTAGGAACTTGTTATTGCCAACGAAGCTAAATTAAAGCATGCAAAATTAGTTTTAACGCGGTAAAACTAAGTTTTTGGCAACTTAAATAAAAAAATTTAGCCAAAGTCGAGATCGAATAAAAAACGGATGGGTCTAGGTCTTTTACTAGACCGACCTTTTACAAGATCCAAAAACAATAATTCAGTTATGATAATTTTAGTTTGGTGGAAGAATTGAAAAGGAAGTCGTAAAGACGAACAAAATTTTGCTGAGAAACCGTGAAAACAGTTTCAACTAAACTAAACAGCGTCATTATATCTGTCAATCAAATTTGTTAACCGAGTCTGGCAAAAATTCAAGTTATTATCTTTTCTGGTAACAAGTCGGTCCTCGGTAAAGACCAACTCGCTCACTTTTACAGACAAAATTTAAACGAAACCTCAAAAACTTTAAACCGGTTTTTCATTATGCACAACGTAATTTTTTCTACCACTTTAGATGCCGTTGACTCGAATTTCTTCAACACCAGACTTAGCTCTTCCTGATCTCCTCCAACTGGCAGACTTGCGTTGGCCACTTTCTTTTCGCTCCGTTGCCACTCTCCATGTATCTACCAATTACTTCCGCAAGATCCGTCTGCTAGATCGCCGACGACATGCTTGCTCGCTAAGTCCGCTACTTAAAAACAGGTTCCACCCTTCTAATTTCATCCGAGATTGCAGGAATATGTCCTGGCTATTTTTCCATTCCGGTACTTGCACTACTTCAGTAT